GACCTGGCGCCAGAGCAAGGCTGGTTTGGATCCGTGCTGGTCGCAAGCCCACTATGTTGGTTTTGTCTTGATGTGGCTCATTTTAATCCCTTTGTTTATATAAACATCTTTATTTTTATGAAAGTTTTATAATCTCAAAAGTAGTTGAAATAGAATTTGTTCATTGCAAGTCTGAAATCCTTACCTGGTTTGGTTAAGCTCGTGAATTAGATTAAAGAACAAGTACATGTTTGGTGTTTGTATCTCTACCTTTGTTACGTTTTCATTTTTAGTTCGACTATTCGAAGAATATGAGAGCTATTGTAGTCGACCCGGCGTCGGCGTCAGCGTTGGTTAAAGTTTTTTGTAAAGTCAAATATCTCAGTTATTGCTTGAGATATTCAATTGAAATTACAATACTTATTTATAGTAACAAGGTACATCAGATTGACAAGTAGGATAACTCTGCCTACAATATTGACAGAATTATGCCCCTTTTTAACTTAGAAATTTTGGTTAAAGTTTTTTGTAAAGTCAAATATCTCAATTATTGCTTGAGATATTCAATTGAAACTTACAATACTTATTTATAGTAACAAGGTACATCAGATTGACAAGTTGGATAACTCTGCCTACAATATTGACAGAATTATGCCCCTTTGAAACTTAGAAATTTTGGTTAAAGTTTTTTTTTAAAGTCAAATATCTCAATTATTGCTTGAGATATTCAATTGAAATTTAAAATACTCTTTTATAGTAACAATGTACATCAAGTTGCAAAATTGCATAACTCTGCCTGCAATATTTGCAGAATTATTCGCCCCTTTGAAACTTAGAAATTTTGGTTAAAGGTTAAAGGTCTTCAAAGATATTTACTTGAAACTTTACACATGCACTTAGGGTCATAATTGGAGGGTCATAATTGTATGTCACTGACCAAGTTCCATAACTCTATCTTGCATTAAGGCTGATTCATATCCCCTTTTCTACTTTTAAGTCTCTTGGTTAATGTTTACATGGTAGTTTTACATATCTCAATAACTATTAAAGATATGTATTTAAAACTTCACATATGCATTTAGGGTCATAATTGTAGGTCACTGACAAAGATCCATAATTCTATCTTGCATTTAGGCTGATTTTTCTCCCCTTTTTCAACTTTGAAATTCATGGTAAAGTTTTGCTTGTAAGCTGTTATCTCAATAACTACTGAAGGGTTTGTGCCTTTTTTGGGACAATTTTATGCATTCATAATAATAAAGCAGTGATTTACTTGATAAAACATCTTAATAACAAGCCTTTGCACCTTTTCTGTCAAATTTATGTATTCATAGGTAATTAGTATTATTATACTCAATAAAACACCCTTGTGACATTACCTTCTGAATAGTCAAGCCAATACTGTATAATTAGACTCTCTCTAAGGCCTATAACATGAATTTATAAAAAAAATTAGCCCTTTTGTGAACTTAAAAAATTTAACATTATAAAGGCTCTTTTACTATACAAGCACTTAGAAAAGTCGAGTGTGCTGTCCTACCGACAGCTCTTGTTCTAAAATCTTGTTTAGTTTAAATTTTAAGTTATTAATGATCATATATGTTTAATAAATCAATATGTTCCACAAGCTTTATAAGGGAGGGTTGTGTATGTTGAAATATTAAACAAAAATTGTTTAAATGGTATCATATGAATGGTAGAAATGTGCAAATATTTTACCTTGCCAATTAGTCCTATATGTTGATTTGAAAAATCTAGAAAAATTCTTATTGTCATGTTTGTCACAAACTTATACAGAACATAAATAATTTCAGCTTTGGGTTGGAATGCCAGCATGGTATGTAGCAGCGTGTAGAGCGAACGTTAAGTCCGGTGCAATTATGTCTGCGTTATCAGACCAAGAGATTCAGCGCGAGATAGGCATTAGCAATCCACTTCACCGTCTCAAACTTCGCCTAGCCATTCAGGAAATGGTCTGTCTCACCAGCCCCTCAGCTCCAAGAACTTCTCAGGATGTAAGATTTTTGTTTTTGTTTTTGTGTACAATTTTAGCGCAATTGAGTTTAAGCCTAAAAACCGTAAGGTTTGAAATTATGGTATAGATCAGCTCGGGAACTTAAAACATAAAAATATGTATTGCAAAAGATGGTATAAAAATCTTGAAATTGAAAATCTTTTTGTTTGTGCGATTCTTAGCCATATTTGATTTGAAAGCATTAATTTTACATGCTTGTCATTTTATGGTTATTTTGTACAGTTAGCATGATAATATCTTGGAAAAAAAGGAGTGAGTGAATAAACACAAGTTATTCGCTTAGAATTGTATTCTATGAACAGATATAGATTTGTATTTTGATTTGTACATAGTACATGAGGGTACACATTTTTATAATACATTGCTTAATACGGATAACTATTCAAATTTATTTATAACAAACTATTAACATACCTGAACCCTAAGCCTGCTGGCGGCAAAGACTATTACCCATGAGACTATTGCAGACCAACATAAGCTGGCACATTTTCCCCAAAAAATGAATGGTTTGCCCAGCTTGAAAGCAGATTGAACAATGGACAACTCCATTTAAAATATTTTAGGTTTGTAAGTTTTAAATACAATGTCACATCATAAAAAATGTATGATATTTAATGATTTCAGTCTCTAGCATTTGGTGACATGAATCATGAGTGGATTGGCAATGAGTGGTTGCCTAACCTAGGTCTACCTCAGTATAGGAGTCATTTCATGGAATGTCTTGTAGATGCTAGAATGTTAGACCATTTAACTAAAAAAGACTTACGAGGGCAATTAAAAATGGTGGATAGCTTTCATAGGTGTGTATAGAATTTAAATTATACATTATAATAGAATTAATAAATGATTATAATTGTTGATTTTTTTCCCCTACAATTATTTTGAATCATTGATGATATATATTTTGAATCCTTACTCATATGATAGTAGAAGGGCTCAAACCCACCAACCCCATGGCCATTGCTTCTCTCTAAAAGCTGATTAACAGGTATTGATAATGATAATTTAAAAAATGTTCTGCCCCATGTGGCTGAGGGGTGGCCTTTATGGGTTGAAATTTCAGATTGAACCCTGTTTAACCTTTTGTGATCGTTAGAAGCGACTAAATGGGTTTGAATTACTAGAGTCTTTGCATATTTTAGCTCCAGCAGGTGAGTTTTGCCCCCTGGTGTAGGTATAAGTTTGTAACACCCGAGGTTAGCCAAAATATTTTTTCCTGTTTTGACGCCATATGACCTTAACTGTGTTAGTGTGCCGTAAAACCAAACCAAACAAAGTAAACAAAAAAAACAAAACAAAAAAAAAGTGATCTGTTATTTTATTCACATAATTTAAGATTTAATCTTGTAATTTCAGGACCAGTTTGCAATATGGTATAAATTGTTTAAAACGAGTTAATTATGATAAAAAGGAATTGGAAAGTAGGCGAGAGAAAACTGCAGAAGAAAATACAGGTAAATATTTATTACTTCTGTCTAATGAAACTTACCTTTTTGCATAATGGTTCCAGTTTTTGTCTCATCTATATTGTTCTAGAATTAAAGCCATTTCAAGAACATAATTATTATAACTTATATACTGTGAGTTCACTTAACTATGTGGCCATGAAATTTCATGGTTTTGTCACAAAGGATGCCCGTTCGTGCCTGAAATAATGCACGGAAGGGCACCTGAGGTCTTCCTCCACCAGTAAAGCTGGAACGTCGCGATATGACCTAAACTGTGTCGATGTGACGTAAAACCCAAAACAAACAAACAAACAAATTGTCACAAAGGACATTTTCATCAGAAAGAAGTTTGCTGTAGTTATGTACATATATACATTTTTCTCCCCTTTAAATTTTAGATGTGTTAGTGTGGACCAATGAAAGAATTACAAAATGGGTAATATGTATAGGGCTAAGAGATTATGCAAATAATCTGCACGAATCTGGCGTACATGGGGCGCTTATTGCACTAGACGAAAGCTTTGATCATAATAGTATGGCTTTAGCATTACAAATACCAACACAAAACACAACTGTAAGTATTATTAGCTTTATATTACCGTATTATGTAAATGTTGTTTTTTTTTGGTTAACTTTTTATACTTGACCTTTAACCTTCTGGAACCGAAACTGATTAGCTGTTACCACCAGTATAGAGCTAGGCCAGCCTGTATGTCTGTACTGTCTAACTAGGCTCTATACTGTGAGTAGCTCAATTTTAAGCTTGACTATTCAAAGAATAAGTAGAGCTATCCTAGTACCCCAAGTGTCAGCGTCGGCGTAACCACTTATGTTAAAGTTTGCGTACCAGTTCAAATATTGTCATATATCATTGACATCTTGCTTTGAAACTTTGCACACTTGTTCACCATTATGCCCATAATCTTTACCAGGAGGAGGTAACTTTATCAAACATTTTGACAGAATTATCCCTCTTTTTTGACTTTACACACTTGTTTGAGAGCATAATAGGATAATCTACAAGGCCTATAACTGTGACATGGATTTGAAAAAAAATTTGGTCCTTTTTGAAAATCGCCATTTAAAGCTCCCTGTCTGACTGTCTGTAATGAAGACATACTCCTTTTGTGCCAAAACAAAACCACACCATTGACAGAGGTAAAGTAATTTTCCAGCTATTTTTCTCTGCTGACCCCTGTTCACCCCAGGGGATTAATGTGTGGAGTTACAATTGACTATGCTTTATACTTTGAAGTCAGTAGTTTAGTTAATCGTCCAGAATTTTGTATTTGTCATTCTAACCTCTCAGTGCATATTTTAATGTAATTTTCTACCCATGTATTTCAGATACGCTCAACATTAGAGCGGGAATTTAACAATTTACTAGCCAGTGGTACGGACAGACGGTTGGACGAGGTAGGTCTGTATTGTTTTTATTTATTTTTTTCTTGTGCCCTGGCTTTGCAGTGCTTGGTTGCGGAACTTTTATTCAGTGTATCAGCCCTGTATTGGTGAGTTAACAAAAACAGCCTGTGACTTCACAACACTATTCTAGTCTGAAAACTTCGGAACATAGTTGTAGTATAATATTTAAAGTTATAGATTAAGATAACTTGTCTGTCGCTACTTTGAAGTATAAGATGGCATGTGCTGGAATTTATTTGAAGCTTCACCATTGGTTATTTGCCGCTGTTTAAACAGGAACGGTGTCACTTGAATTCCAACTCCTGGCCATTGACTTTGAATAATTTGTTCATTTAATTGCTATGTTATATTACTTGTGACGGAACTATTCAGGATGATCGCAGGAGGTCTGCTCCTTTAAACAACATGATCGACATTTATGTCTGAAATTATGCCTGGTAGGGCACTTTTAACCTTCTGCCAGCTTTCTTAAAAGTTGTCATGTTTGATGTTCAACCTCTCTTGGAAGTGAAATGTTATAGCCATTAAAAAGGTCATGTATTGTCACTATCTTATAATCTCTGAACGAATTACAAAGAATTTAGTTGGTCAACAGTGTCTTAAATCAAGATATTGATGAAAGCATTTAAATATTTTTAAAAAGAATTGCAAAAATCAAATTTCAGAATATATGATTATGTTTTTTGGTTGGGGTTCATAGCAGACTACCTGTCATACGAGAATGATGAAAATAAAAAAAATGATGATATAATTGTTAAATTGAAGTGTTTGTGGAGTCACAGTGAGCTTATTTAACCAGAATGATACAATGTCACATTGTACCTTCACTTCAAGACCTACCTTTTACCCCCACACTCTCACATTGCACCTTTACTTTACCCTTCACTCCCCCATAGTACACACATCTTGATTACATTTTCTCACAATACACCTATATCTTACCTTTACACTTTCCCCACAATCCCCACATCTGAAATACATGTTGTCACATTGCACTTATACTTTGCCCCCACAATCCCCACATCTGAAATACATGTTGTCACATTGCACCTATACTTTGCCCCCACAATTCCACATCTGAAATACATGTTGTCACATTGCACTTATACTTTGCCCCCACAATCCCCACATCTGAAATACATGTTGTCACATTGCACTTATACTTTGCCCCCACAATCCCCACATCTGAATTACATGTTGTCACATTGCACTTATACTTTCCCCCCACAATCCCCACATCTGAATTACATGTTGTCACATTGCACCTATACTTTGCCCCCACTATCCCCACATCTATATTACATGTTGTCATGTTACACTCTTCTTTTTCTATTCAACCCCTCTTTCACAATCCCCACATCTGAATTACATGTTGTCACATTGCATCTATACAAAAAATGTATACCCTTTCAATGCCCACATTTAGATTCCACATTCTCTCCTTGCATCTATATATATAAATCTTTACGCACCCACACTGTCCCATATCTGAAATTCACTTTTTATATGGAGTAGTCATCATAACAAATATTTCATTTCATAAAAAAGCAGTTTTCGTAGCGAAAAGTTGTTTCTTTATTCAAGGACTTTACTTTTTATTATTACATTTCAGTCAGAATTTCTCATTTTTCCAAACATGTCACCCAACCCCTCTGAAGAGGCACTGCTCTTATATTTCACATTATCCCATTTATTATTGCCCTTGGTGGTGTTGTCATATTCCAGGCATGAGACTTATTACCTGTAAATATTCTAGATATTTGGAAAATTAAACATTGAATTTTATAAGTTAAATATGTACGAAACAATTAAAGTTTCCATTTATTGATATATTATTTAAAAATTTAAGAAAATGAGAAATGAATTTCCATGAATGTAATGATGGACAGTTTTTAATTCATTTAAGTCCTTTGAAAATTTAAGGCTGCCTAAAGGTTAAAAACTAGGACACTTCTATTTTGGTTTAAAAATGTTGAAGAGTTAATTATATAATCTCTATTTCGAAGACAGCCATGAAAACTTATTGGGATAAGAAGACAAAAGAGGAATGATTTGCAAGAGTATCCAAATTTTATATCCCCAATTTTACCAATTATTTGAGTAAATTGCAATACCACCTGTACAGAGCAGCCCCCTTTTTTGGAGACACATTTTTTGGTCATTGCTGAGAGGTGTTGCTCTATGAGAGGTTCATTTTATTGTGAAGGTTTTTACTTTTTAGGAAGAATTGGTTATGTTGCTATAACGAGGTTATTGCTCTGCAGAAGTCCTTACTGTAGAGGTTACACTGTACAATAAAAAGAAATAAAACCAAAGAAATGAAAAGAAAACCAAAGAGATTATAATAAAACCAAAGAAATTAAAATAAAACCAAAGAAATTGAAGTAATACCAAAGAAATTGAAATAATACCAAAGAAATCAAAATACAAATGTAATACCAAAGAAATTGAAATAAAAACCATAGAAATTGAAATAAAACCAAAGAAATTGAAATAAATTCAAAGAAATTGAAATAAAACCAAAGAAATTATGCTAAGAAGTCTCATGCTTGGAATATTAAATATTGTACTATAATTATATTGTATATACATTAACCCACAACTTACTAACACCACTATATAAAACAGCTGATTTAATAAACTATATACTTAATATTATTTATATTAAACACTTGCTTAATTTACTCATTTAATCATGGTGAAATGTCATTGAATTATTGCAACTTTAATTATACTCACAGATAAGCAGCTTCTCATACATATGACCAACTTTTCGTAATCTTGATATATAATTTGCTTTCAAGCTAGGCATGCGCATTTTCTAAAATAAATCTACTTATGACTAATTACGTTAAATTATTAATGCAACATTATAATTTTTTATGAGGTGATTTTACTTTTAATTTCCTTAAAATACAGTCAAACTTGCATTTAGAATCCTCTGACTATGCAGGGAGTTGTATTTATGACTGGACAGTAAATGAAAGATTTTCGTCCTTTATGCTAGGAAGTTATTTAGCTTAACTCAAAATGTGCCTGGGAGGTTTCATCTGTAGCAAGTTTGATTGTATTTTAAGAATCTTTTTCAAACAAATATGATTGAGCAAGTTAAAGTAGAGAAGAATTAATTTCTTAGCAGATTGAACTTATTCAAGTAATGGTGACATATATATTGTTGATAATGTTTGAATTTTGGAATGCTCTATTGTTTAATTTAGGGCGAAGGCGGAAAATTCCGGCGGGCACCCTCGTGGCGTAAGAAATTCCGTAATAAGGACAAGAGTAAAGACGGGAGTGAGGATGGTGAGGGTGGGGCTGAACCTGGGCAGGAGTCACCTCAGGGGCCACGGAGAGCTGCCTCCGTGGGTCCTGGCTCAGCACTTCAACAGCGTACAACTGAAACGATGAGAAACTGCTAGCCCGTACTGCATATTTAGGTCTTTGCCAATTTAAAAGCCAAGTTTTTTTCAACTTGGGGAAAACCGCGCTTTGCACGAGGATGAAGTTGTCACTGCCGTTCGAGTGGGCCTCGGAAACAAAAAGCCTGCAATAAGAAATATAAAAACAAACTACAAGTGTATTCAGCAATTTGTGGTGTGTCAATGTATTGGAGATGTGCATTTTGTACACTCAAATTTTTATGTAGTGAAGCAATCTGAACATTACTGTCATCATCACACGTGTTTTTGTTTCTTAATGACAGATTTTTCGTGTGTGTTCTCTAGTTGATGTAGATGTCAGATTTCTTTTCAGAGCCATATAAACTTGTCAGAATGTGAATCTAGAATTATTGACTTTAGTATTTATTATCAATATAAAAGTTACTGGCCGCCTCACTTTTGTTGACAGATTTCTTGTTGAAACAGTTAATGTTACCAAGGGATAGCACTGACAAAAGATAATAATGAAATTCATGGAAATTTTATTTTACTTAATCTTTAATAGTAAAAATATATAGATGTCAAAAATATTTACTGTATATTCAAAGAATATGTATACAAGGTATAATTTCCATGACTAGGAGCCTTGTGATTAAAAGCTGATGTGTTAAAAGTTGAATCTGGGGTCTTTCTTAAGGTATTTTAAGAATTTTACTATTTCTTTAATACTGAGATTGACTCTCTGAATGTTATGAATAAAATGAGCCGCGTCACAACAAAACCAACATAATGGGTTTGCGACCAGCATTGATCCAGACCAGCCTGGGCATGCGTGCAGTCTGATCAGGATCCATGCTGTTTGCTATCAGTTTCTCTACTTGTAATTGACCAGCATGGATCCTGATCAGACTGCGTGTATGCGCAGGCTGGTCTGGATCCATGCTGGTCGCAAACGCATTACGTTGGTTTTGTCGTGACGTGGCTCATATTAACAATACTATTTCATCAGTATAGAGCCCAGTCAGCCTGTATATCCAGGCAGTTTGACCAGGCTCTATACTGTTGATTGTTCAATCTTAGTACTTTCTATATTCATTCTAAAATCCCCCCTAAAAACTGTCAATGGACTGTTCCGATTTCAAAGCACGGCAAATCTATTGCACAAGTTGATGAGGGTTAAGAAATCTGATATAAATCAGTACGAACGATCTGCAATCTGTCAGCCAAGTGATACGCCAGTGATGTTATTATTTCACTGTATTCCATGCTCTACGTAGCCAGTCATAAATTTGCATAATCTTGCACAGGTTTTCCTCATGTAGTAATGCTGTGCATTATATATTTATATATACTGTAACTATAGCTAGCTGATTTTCTTTTCTCTACTCGTTAGCTTCAGCACCAGATATACCCCCCTCTGTGTACCACATCACATTTTTTGTACAAGATTTTCTTGAATTATATGATATTGAACAAAGCATTTTAGGGCTTGGTGCAAAGTAGTGGTATCTGATTCTTAATTACATACCAAATTACAACTATTTTGCTTGAAGCTCTTGAAACGACATTCTCTTTTATCAACAAAATTCATTTAATGATATCATACCATTTTACGTGCATCATGCTTGATAAATTACCATTTGATTTTCAGTTCTTTTGTATTAGCTGTGTGTCTCTTAAAGGGTATTAAGCTTTATCTATAGGAATAGTTTTATAAAATTTATCCATGGTTGAAAATCATGTTGTATCCACAATCTTATGGTGGAATCTCGAAAAATAAAGAGTTGTATCAAAGAAGATCATTGTTATTTAACACGCATAGATATTGTATGGAAACAGAATCAAGTGTTTGGGAAAACAAAATTTTATGTTGCTGTTTTAGTAGGGTTTTAACTGTTCCATAATGATTAAGTGTTTGCCCCATGGGCTTTAAAGGTATTGTACAAACATATTCTTTCATGCAACTATTTTGGAAGTATTCTTTGTCAAAATTTAAACAATAATTTTATGAACTATGGCCTGCAGATATTTTATGGTTTCATACACCTGTAAGATAAAATGGTAACTTATTTATTCACTAGGGATGTCAATGACATGCACATAGCACCAGTATATAGACAGGCCTGTTGGGAAACCATTGCAGTGTTACCACTTAATAGCCGAGTGGTTAAGGTCATTGACGTAATAGCACTTGCCCCTTACAGCTGTTAGATCAAATCCTGCGGGAGACTCTGAATTCATCATATAAAGGAAGCTATCCAGCTAACTTATGGAACAATGATGGTTCCACTCAGGTGCCCACTTGTGTCTGAAATATAGCACAGAGGATCACCTGAGGCTTTCCTCAAATAGTAAAAGTGAATAAGTTGCTTTTTGACCATTACAATACCATTGTGACTTGAAACTGAGCATTAAAAAAGAGGCAAACTAACCAGGCTCTGTTAGCTGCTCTGTATTAGAATTTACATCCTGAAATCCCTGAGATAAAAAATGGATAGGCCCAAAGTCAAAGTAGGTAGAGTGCATTACTCAATTATAGGGGTGGAAAAACTGATAAATGAATACTAAATGAGACATCTTCTCTTGTACAAAAAATCAAGTGTATGTAATTCTCAAGTTGTATTTTCCCATTCATATTTTATTTATTGGTATTTAAATCTATTTCCGACTTAGTCATTTTATATAGTAAAATATCTCTGCTCTATATACATATATACATACATACATGTATAAAAGATTCCAGAATATCAAACCTGTCCACTATTCTCTATAAATGGCTAATATTAAAGGGGAGGTAGGTTGGGGGGAAATATTTTATTTTGTTGAAATTTATTTTATTCCAAGAGGTAATTGGAATGTACATTAATTTTCTAGACATATTTTGTATAATTTAAAGATATATATTTAAGTTTTCAGTATTGTTATGCATACTGGTTTTCTAAAAAGGGGGGGTTTTTACCACGGGTTCAAAAACGGGACTTTAAAGGGGTTCAGTGATTTATTTACAATTTTTTATATAGTTTTGGGGACAAATGCTAAAAAAAATTATAATTTTTTGTAATTTTTCTAAAAATTTTATTACTTGAATTTTGACTTTGTTGCTTGCTTATAGGTTGTGAATTGTGAAACACTGCATTTTAGGTAATAAGTACTTTATTTGAATTGTAATGAACAAATTGTGACTGTATTGCCATGATTCTATCAACATTTTCCCCTGGTAATCTCTCATGAGCACATCCTCCGTTTCATTTTAGGCATACTAACAAATTATTTCATCCAAGCATGACCTTAATATACAGGTTTCATAAAGACATTAAAGTTGCAAACAATCATTTAGTGGCAGATTGAAGTGGCTAACAGAAATATGTACACATTGCAGTTGCAAACGATCATTTAGGCATTCATTGCAGTTGCAAACAGTCAAATAGGCATATATTGCAGTCGCAAACAGTCAAATAGGCATATATTGCAGTCGCAAACAGTCAAATAGGCATATATTGCATTTGCAACTCTCATATAGGCATACATTGCATTAGAAAAGTCATATAGGCATATATTGCAGTCGCAAACAGTCATTTAGGCATTCATTGCAGTTGCAAATAGTCATTTAGGCATACATTGCAGTTGCAAACTGTCAGATAGGCATACATTACACCCGCAAACAGTCATATAGGCATATATTGCAGTCGCAAACAGTCATATTGGCATATATTGCAGTAGCAAACAGTCATATTGGCATATGTTGCAGTCGCAAACAGTCAAATAGGCATTCATTGCAGTTGCAAACAGACATAATTTTATAGGAATACATTGCAGTTGCAAAACAGTCATATAGGCATACATTGCAGTTGCAAAACAGTCAAATAGGCATTCATTGCAGTTGCAAACAGACATAATTTTATAGGCATACATTGCATTTGCAAACAGTCATATAGGCATTCATTGCAGTCGCAAACAGTCATATAGGCATTCATTGCATTTGCAAACAGTCATATAGGCATACATTGCAGTTGCAAACAGTCATATAGGCATACCATCATTTAGGCATACATTGCAAACAGTCATATAGGCATACATTGCAGTTGCAAACAGTCATATAGGCATACATTGCAGTTGCAAACAGTCATATAGGCATACCATTGCAGTCGCAAACAGTCATATAGGCATACCATTGCAGTTGAAATTTTCATGAAGGCATACATTGCAGTTGAAGCCATATGAATGGAGTCAAAATGCTGGATATTTTGCTCTCGGTTTGTCAAAACCAAGCCACCATATCACTTTTGTGTTCAAGGTTGTTTTAATTTATAAATTTTTGTATGGAAAGTTATTTTTATCAGTTAGTTTGGCTAACCATATCTGTGTTGCGCCCTGTTATAAGGCAAGTATAAATGGATCTGTCTTGTCTAGCAATTTGTTGGTTTTAATCTTGTTGTAATTGCTATACCTTTCAACTAATTGTTTTTTCCAGATTTAGTTCTAAAAATTTGTTTGGAATGGTTTGTAGGCTAACAAGAGTGTCTTTTAGAAGTTATTTAAAATTGGAACTACATAAAACATTCAAGAGAATGGAGGCTTTGCATATAAATCTTCAACATTACGAAATTGTTATCTATTAAGCTCCAGTCTCTTAAAGGGACCGACCCCACTGAGGTTTTTTTTCTGGACATAATGGGACTGTAAATTATTTTTCGATATTAATGTTCCATTTGATATATTTCTGTATCTGTGTTTACCAAAAATTTGTGTGCAAAATTTCAGATCATTGGCTCACTCCATTTTCCAATTCTAATTGTGAAAAGAAGACCTGAAATTACAAAGTGTTGCTAGGCTTTTCACTCAAACTGTGCTAAGAATAGCACAAAAATACGCTTTTCACTTTATTTTAGAGTATTATTCTTCATTATCTTTAACATAACTTTCTGTTTTAGGTGCCTCGGCTGATTTATATAAGAAATTCAAATTTCATGTTTTAGGTTTTTAACTTCAGTGGAGTTTCTTTAATATTTTCTTCTAAGTGTGGACTTCACTCTTGAACCTCCGGCCTAGAATAACAGACAATTTGTTAGAAGTTTGACATTGTAAAGAATAAAAAATATCGGAATGTAAATTACTTAGTCAAATGCCCTTTGACCATTTTACATAATATTATGTTGATTAAGGGAATTGTTTTGACATATTTTTTTTTTAATGAAAGCTCCCTGGGTATAGATTTATAGCTTAAGATTTATCTGTTGACTTTTCTCTTGTTATTTTTCTCCGAAATACTTGTGATGTTTTATGAAAATTATAATGTACAGTTACAAATTATAATGAAGATGGAAGTGTTGTAATTGTATCTTTTCCTCTTAGAATCCAGATCTGATTTATACAAATTGTTATATAGTATCCATTGTAATTTAACTCCACTTTTCACTTTTCGAAGAAAAGTGGTGTTATCGTTATGACCTTTTTATTGGCATCAGCGTTGGTTAACTTTTTTGTTAAGGGTCTGTTTCCTCGAAATATATATTCACTTCGAATTTGGTAAACATGTTTATTTTCATAAAAAGATACCATTTCAAAAGGGCAGATAATCCTAATATTATTCTTGCAAAGTTATGCCCCCTTTCACTGAGGAAAGTGGAGCGTGCTGTCGGAGGACAGGTCTTGTTTTAATTTCTGCCTTGAGATACTATAATTATTGATATAATGGCTCTCTGCTCTGTAGATTAATTTTTTAAAAAGAATTCTTGCTTGACTTGTTCCCAAGTTTGTTTGTTTTTTTTTTTATCATTTTTTTTTCAGAGTATTTCATTTTGATACAACATTTTTTTATGTCATTAACATTGAAGTCTTCAAGTTTTAGTCTGAAAATAACAGCAAAATATCTGTAACTTGGAAATTAGCATTGAGTAACTTGGACACTAGCATGGAAGAAATGAAACCAGTCAGTTATGAAGGAATTTACAATGAAAATTTTGGAACCAGTCAAGTATGAGCATTGATTCATGTTTTGCATGTTTATATTGTTAGGCTTCGTTTCACAAATTGTACACATTTTAGAATAGAGATTTTGTCATTTTGTATCCGTCATTTTGTATTTATTATATACTTCATGTACAAAGTTTAATGTGATATATAAACTGTAAAAAGCAATTTTTATTTGTAAAAAAAAATTTAAAAGAATATGATTATGATTTTAATACTTATGCAAACTTTATGTATGTGTTATAGATTGTGTAATGCTGCTGTGTAGTGAATTTAACATACAGAAAAATCAATATTTCCTAAAATATGTGTCCAAACGTAGAATCTCATACATATGAATTTGCATATGTTCCTTACAGTTTACAATGTCACTTAGTGACAAAGTGGAAAGACATTTATTAAGAAATTATTGTTTGAACTAAGACTTTTTGAAATTTTGTAAAAAAAATAATTTGAAAATATTTGATACCTGAATAGAGCCTAATTTCTCAGTATTGATAATATATTGTAGCGTTTTTAGCAATTAGATCTTCAGCTATAACAGTTACTTGTTTTATTAAAGTACTCAATCCTTAGGCAGGGAGTGAAAATTTCATATTATGTGTCTTTTTAAAAAAAGATCAAGCTTTTATATGACCCGTAGGAAACAAATGATCTTGTCATCTGGATGCTTTTACTGTAAATAAGTGACAAAAGTTGACCAGTTTTATATACATTTAAGTTATTGATGAACTAAAACTATGTACAGGTAAAAAATTTTTAGTTTCTTTCTAATTCAAACATAATAAAAAGGGGCCAGACAGGGTTTGAGGGAATTTTATTGTTCTATAAAATTTCATTTCAAAATGTTAACAGTTTATAACCTGGAAGTTTTTAAAAAAAAACTTAAAAAATTAAAAATTTTAAAAAAATATTTTGTATTTTTTAATACTTTTCAATAACAGGAAAGTGTTTCTTTTAAAGAATAGCCAAGATCCATATATTTTTTCCATACAGAATGATGTAAATTCAAAAAGATTTTTTAATCTTAGAGCCCTTATTGCATGGATTTATAGCAAAGCCGCCACATCTTTGCAGACTTATCAGACTATTGTTGTGTCTGCATTTTAATATTGAAACCCCCCCCCCCCCAGTTGACAATGGTCTTTTCCAAAATAAGATTTAGCACAAGTCTATTTTACATAAAAAGCAGGGTTAAGTATGAAATGAAGACATTAAATTAACGTTTGTCATTACTGTATGCTTGTACTAACAATATATGTATTAAATAGATGATAATATTTAGCATACTGAAGGCAAAAATGTTTTAATATAGGTCTTTTATAGAAAGATGTCCTAAAATGGTATAGATAAGCCCTTTTACTGCTGGAACTAGAGGCATTTAGCCTTTGTCACTATTATACAGCCAGGCCAGCCTGCTTTTTGGTGCAATCTGACCAGACTCTACATTATTTTCTAACTAACTTCAAGTTTTCATCTTGATATCTCCAAAATTGACAATGGACAGTTCCAAAAAACAGAAGCTGGACAAGTCCATTTGAGGAATTCAGGTTAATCAATCATTAAGATGTTAATCAGTTGAAAAGATAAGTCACAGTTCCTTAGCTGTCTGTGAAATCCCTGTTATACAAAAATATTTATGAGAAATTAAATCAAATAACTTTTTACATTTGTGTATAAAATATATCATATTTTCAAAGTATTTTTTTTTCTCAGCCAAAGTAAAACACTTATATTGATGGAAATTTAGACTGGTCTGAAGCTTTTCTGTAATAATCGTAACATAGAAATGTAAATAAAACTAGAACCAGTCAGCAGTTTGTTACTGGGTTTGTTTTTTGGACAAGTTTCAAGTAGCTATAAAGTTTTGTAAACCATGATCCAAAGTTTTAATTAGTACAGTCCAACAGTCAGTGAACTTAGCCTATTTTTTTGCAGTATTGTTATGTTTCCCATTATACAGCAGTATTTATTGTAAGGTCACCAGAATCTTTTTTCTGTCCCTGTATTTGTTAGCGGAGTCTAAGCTGATGTGTGACATCATCATACTTTGTGCACGAAGAATGATGTGTCAGAAAAATTAAAACCAAAAGAAAATATACCTGGAGTTGTTTTCTCTTTTTACTGATGACAGTATAAAACCTGTTGGTTTGAAGATGATTGTCAAAACGTTTAACAACATCTTTAATTTCACATGAGGCCTTGTATATTATTATTTTTCCTATTTGAAGTGTTGAATTCAATACAGAATGAAGTTATAGTAATTCAACACAGAACACTTCTCTTTCCTCATACAAGTCTTTTACGGGCAGAGAAACAATATGCATCCTGTTAAGGCTTTGCATCATTTATTTCTCAACAAAAGCAACTAGGAAGCTGCAAATTTTCACTACACACCCACAAGCAGCATATTTATACTTAATGCCTGAAAACAGCAAATTTTCATGTTATGCATGCTGGAAAACAGCTTTACATGTTCTGCCTGAAAACAGTAAATTAACACTTGACACATTAAAGCATCAAATTTACACTAGCAAATAAATGCTTGACACCTTGAAGCAGCAAATTTACACTTGACTCCTTAAAGCAGCAAATTTACACTTAACACCTTGAAATAGCAAATTTACACCTGGAAGCAGCAAATTTATACTTTACACCTTGAAGCAGCAATTTTACACTTTACACCTTGAAGCAGCAAATTTACACTGTACACCTTGAAGTAGAAAATTTGTGATTGTCCCCTGGAAGCAGCAAATTCCTATACCTGGAAGTAGAACATAAAATAATTCAATACTGATCACTGTACACTGGCAAAAGACAAAAATAGAGAGATTTAAAGAGAAAGTTAAACAGTCATTGATGCAGATTAAGTTCTTTCAATGCAGTGCCATCTTTGTTTAAGGTCTACAACATAGAATTTCATTAATTGAGTAGCCTATAAACTATGTATATAACCACAGATCAGGCATGCCCAGAAAAGCAAGTTTCTGAGGCCATATGGATTACAAGACAATTTTGATAGAATGAAATATTTACAAAAAAACACGTACATGTATTTACTCTGCATGACAATGAGGAAAGGTCACTCTCCTCTGTGATATGCGGAATGCCACAGTAATTTGTAACACTAATGAGGCTGTGTCAACCATGATGTCATAATACTGCTTTGCAACATAACAGATTTGTAAATGCAGTTTTTTGTACCTCAGAATGCCCTTATTAGGCAACGTATTGGCTAATGTGCAATACATGTACCGGTACATGTAACCATGAAAAAGTTGAGATTAATCCAACTTGCTGTATTATGAGCTGAGTTATTGTACTATTTTATGTTTGGGCAATAATTATGTAAGTGAGAAGCCCAACAAATTGTGAGCCAGTGCTTTTTATTAAATAAATGCTGGTTGCCCTTCCTGAAGACAGACATCTGTGTAATATCAGTTTGTAAAAACGGTCAGTTTTGCAGTTGTAATATTGAGACTAAGATAAGATAAGATAATTTTTATTCATAGTCGGTTACAAAAAACATGTAAACATTAACTATATAAGCTATTTTGCAACATAACAGATCTATCCTTTAACAATACAAACAATTAATATAGTAAGCGAGATTCTGACCAGAACAAAAATATCAGAATCTTGCATACATATTGCTTATACATAAAATGGCACAATATGTCAATCCGTTATACATTTATAGATGTATCTATCTGATACATTAGCTAAGAAATATGAAGGCCATTTCTGAGAGATAGGCAGATGGAATACAATTAGAATTGTTCAACCTATACAGAACAATATAGTGGTGTAAGACCAAAAGGAAGGAAAATAAAAAAAATCATGTAAGTCAAACTCCATCTATTGTTGTATTGTTTCGAGACTTCACAAATATTAAAATAAAAGCGATGCATCCTTTGGTTTTTTAATCGACCTTAATTTGAATTAAGACATTGAGAGAAAAATAAAACAAATTGTTTTGTCATCAGTTTTCGCGACCAGTCCAGTCTTTGAAATGAAAGCTTAGGCTTACTGGTAATTTTTGTTAGGTTCACATCTGTGAACCTTCTGTTTCTAAATATTATTTTATATGGATATGTTGTCATGTTCAGAGAGGAATGTCACGATATTTAATGAAAATACCGGGACAGTGCACAGACCTGTGCAAATTATGGACCTTTCCAGTGTTTACAGATTTATGTAAATTGGCTAACTTGCTACATCTACATCTACATCATACTGCTTAACAATCAATTCTGATTATGACTAGCAGGCGCGTTGTCAGGGAACTGTTAATAAAAGAATTTATTTATATGCAAATTAAAAAGTTAAAAGAATAAAAGTTCTACAAGACTATTAATTTAAAAACATAGTGTGCAGTTTAGAATTTATAGAATGGGTCAAGCCTCTCAGTAAAGATGTTTAAACTGGGGCTGGACTGAACAGTTAGGGGAAGGCTATTCCAAAGACGTATGCTCCTAGGAAAGAAAGAATTTTGATGATATTATGTCCTCGAGTAGGGTATCAGGTAGTTCAGATTTCTTGTTTGAGTAAGGTGTTGGTGGTCAACAAAAACGATGTTGTTTTGGATTTTATACAAGTAGGTTACAGCACTGATGTTTCGACGCTGTTCAAGGGTTTGCCAATTAAGATCATTTATCATTTTTGAGACACTACTTGTATAGTCATAATCATTAAAAATGTATCTAGCAGCTGATCTTTGTACTTGCTCTATCTTATAAATTAAGTATTTCTGCCAAGGATGCCAAACTATGGAGCAATATTCAACCTGAGGTCTAACATAGGTCTTATATGCAGTTTCTTTTATCTTTTTATTTGGAGTTTTAACATTTCTTCTAATGAATCTGAGGGAGTTATTTGCTTTAGATGTGATGTTGTTTATATGTTTGGTCCATGAAAGGTCTTGACTAATAGTGACTCCTAAGTATTTCGCTTCTTGAGTTGAGTTAAGTTGGATGTTAATACATAATACATAGTTATTGGTTGACCTGGTTTGCACAAAAGGACGCATTGTTTTGTTTGTGATACTGTTTGTGAGCAGTTGACCTAGCAATGAATGGAAAAGGTATGGCTATTCATGTTCAAAGGTCCAAGATGCTCGTCCAATCTTGGTGTCCATAAAAGCTCCATCCCTCTTTGACCTCAAGTCTAACTTTTCCTTTTTCAGTAACCATCATGACATCCCTGGACCTGGATCCCGTGTTTGTGAAAGCTTTAAAGCTTCTACATTCTAAGAGCAAAGAATCTGGTGCCCTGCTCAAGCAAATGTTAGATGATGCTATTGCACAGAAAAAAGGACAAAGTAAATCAAAGGTACCAAATGCATGAACACAATTTTAGCTCACCTGAGTACAAAATGAGCTTTTGTAATGGCATTGCGTCTTTTGTTCACCTATATCCACAATTACTTAAAAACAACAAGTTCTCCACAAGTTGGATTTTGACTAAACTTCACAGGAATGATCCTATAGTGGCACTCTACAAAAAAGTATATAAATGGTACTAGTCTGATGCATTAGAAGGTCACAAGTGGTAAAAATAAGATGGATTTTCAGAATGAAATCTTTAAAATCTTTTTCTTAAAAATGCAACAAAAGCAATGCCCAAAGCTTAGATACATGTATGTGGCATGTTGCATCACTTTATTGTCCTCAACAAAAGTTACATAAATCATGCCACTGGGATCAAAATTGGCTCTGACCTGGGAGTAAGTTATTTTTTTTGTAGACTTATATAGGAAAAAAGTCTTCTTGTGTTAACAAAAGATCCTGGAGTCTAAAATGGATCCCCCTTGGGGTTCACTTGTATTACACAAACTTGTATAGTAAACATGTTTTGAAAATTTTCAATCCCAGACAGAGTGTAAGTATTTAGCATGTAGCATTATCTTTTGGTCACCTTATAAAATATAGAAAACATGCTGCTTGAGCCAAAAATGGCTCCCTCTGGTGGTCATTTAATAGTTTTAATTAACTTATTTAATAAAGATGTTTTCAGGGAGTACAATTCCCAGAGCATAGATATTTTGCATGTAGCATCACATTTTGGCCTTTGAATCATGCCCATGGGGTTAATAAAATTGGTTTCCATGTTTTGGGTCTCTATCTTGAGTTATATAGAACTGTTTTGAAAAAGACATGGTGAAAGCTACAATGTTCAAGCTTAGATATTTGGCATTTCCTAGGGGACCACTTACTTTTGCATTGAAGAATTGTAATAACCTGAGGTTCAAGGGCCACCCTGACCATCTTGTTATTAAATATACTTTAAGTATAAATCAACCAATATAAGTTCAAAATAAAAGAGTTTTAATACTTTTTTTAAGGTATAGAAAGTTTCCAATTTTTACAATCTTTAGCTTTGTTAAGACTGTTTTTTTTTGTAACTGAGACTGGGATTTTATGGAAACATTTTTTTATAGCTGTGGTGAAGATTGCTGACTTAAAACTTCATTATAATATTATGATATTTATATAATTATAACTGTTTCAGACAAGTTCATCCGAGTCAGAGAAAAGCTCTGAGAAGTCTTCATCCAAACATTCAAAGAAGGATGATGAGTCCAGCAGTAAGAAAAGAGAGGCTGAGAAACGCCATATAGATAAGGTAAGCAGTTTATTCTTGCATAAGATAATTTATTCTATAATATGAACATTTTGAGTTTGCTTGTTTATGATGCATCTGAAAAACTCAACGGCTAGTGGGATTTTAATCAAGTGACTACAAGCTTTCATGCTAAAGAAAGACAAAGCTCTTGACCACTGAGTGAAAGTAAAATTGATCCTTGACTCAGTTTGAAGAAGTTTTTTTTGGGGGGGATTGAGGAAGGTTTGCGTTCATACAAAACATCTGTCTATAAAGGGTTCTTTCCAGGATGCTTTCAAAAGATTGCTGGTAGTAGAAACATGTCTGCAATACTGCAATTACGAGGGATTGAGGGTATATTCTGAGGGTATTTCTTCCCCATTTTAGCTTTCCTTTACAATTAAGGATAGATTTGATTCTTGAATTATTATTTTGTGTTCTAGATATTTGTTTTTATAATGGATATATGTTTTGTCTTTATTTTTCCCTCTAGACAAAACAAGGTGGGTCAGAATCATCACCAGAAGTTCCTGCCAAGAAGTCGCGTCTTGAAAGCTCTGATAGTCATAAAGAGAAAGATTCAAAGGAAAAACACTCGGACAAAGAAAGGGATAAAGACAAAGATAGGGAAAAAACGAAGAAAGATAAAGAAAAAGATAGAGAGAGGGAAAAAGAGAGAAAGGAAAGAAAAGAGAAAGAAAGAGAGAAAGAAAAAGAAAAGGAAAGAGAAAAAATAAAAGGTAAAATTAATGTCATTATATGCCTCAGAAATGAATACATGTTTTTTTTTGTGTGTGAAAACTTGTGTTTTGTCATGTTTTAATAATGGATTCAAAGCATGTTAGATATTATTGAAAGAAGAAAGCATTGTTGTGTGCGTAATAATTTATAAGAAAAGAAGCAAAATGTTAACAAATTGTTATTTTGTCTTTAATACAAAAACTTAATCACAATATATGTACTTAAAAGATGGCCAAGCTATATTGCCAGTGCCGTCAGTGCTGCTATGGGAACTGTGAATATAAAATGAGCCGCGTCACGACAAAACCAACATAATGGGTTTGCGACCAGCATAGATCCTGACCAGCCTGCGCATCCACGCAGTCTGATCAGGATCCATGCTATTTGCTTACAAACCCTATAACAAGTAGATAAACTGATAGCGAACAGCATGGATCCTGATCAGACTGCGCGGATGCGCAGGCTGGTCTGGATCCATGCTGGTCGCAAACCCATTGTGTTGGTTTTGTCATGACACAGCTCAAATGATTTTGAAAAAATAAACATTTTGGCATTTTTGGGGCTTATGGGCCTTTAATGATGGCTATCGGTTGACTGAATTTTGAATTTTGACAGCACAAGAGCAAGAAAAAGAAAGGGAGCGACAGAAAGTAAAAGAAAAAGAGAAAGAGAAGAAAACAGAGAAGAAAACAGACCAGGAATCGTCAGACGAGGAGGAAATGGACAGAAGCATGGACGCTGATGATTTTGCTATAGGGCTTGGCCTTTCCTGTGTTGTCTGCAAGTATGTATGTTGCCATAGTTACCATATTAATGAAGGCCCCTTAATTAAAATTACTTCTCACTTCACAAATGCATGACTCTCTTATGAATGATAATCAATTTTCCTGCAATAGGTACAGTTCAGACATTAATTTGATATATCAGACATAAATTTAATTCATGTCATATATGTATTATAGACATAATGTTACAGTGTACATTTCCAGACATAATGTTCATATTGTACATTTCAGACATAATGTTGATATTGTATATTTTAGAAATAATGTTCATATTGTATATTTTAGACATAATGTTCATAGTGTATATTTCAGACATAATGTTTATAGTGTATATTTCAGACATAATGTTCATAGTGTATATTTCAGACATAATGTTCAAAGTGTATATTACAGACATAATGTTTATAGTGTATATTTCAAACATACTGTTCAATGTGTATTTCAGACAGCTAAACCTCACATCGGGTAACCAGTTGGTTGAGTGCCAAGAATGTCACAGCTTATATCATCAGGTAAAAAAGCACTCATCTTATTTTTCATTATTATCTTAATAGTTGTCAGCCTCTTGATCACAATGGGGTCTTTAACTCTGCATCATAAGACCTAGGCCTGTCATTGATGGAAAATTTCGTATCAGTATATCAAGACACCATTATCGACGATATGTCGACTTTGTCAGGAGCACAATGAAAAACATTAAAATATGTGTTGTAAATTGGGATCATAGTGTTATGCATGCTTGTATTAGACATTACAAATACTGCAAACTAACAAAGTTTTTTTGTTGTTGTTTTTGTTGTTGTTTTTTTCGCTGACATTTGAAAACAGAGTTTAAAGTTCAAGGTAGCCAAGAAAACTGGGAAAAAGTGACTTCTCTTATTAGACAAAATAGAGAGGTATATTTACTAACATGAATAAATTTTAGCTTGTATCGATACTTGAAAGTGTGTATCGATATTGTATTGGGTGATGAATATCAATAATATATTGATTATGCGATAGTCAGTGACAGCCCTAATAAGACCTTTTGCCCAGACACAAACTTACTATTTATCAAGGTTCCACCAACTTACTATTTACCAAGGTTCTGTGTTACCCCAAACATTTACTGCTATCTCATTCTGTTTCATTTCATATACATATATTTAAGAAATTTCTTCATGTTCAAACAACAAGATTTCTATCTACAGGCTTTGAAAGTCATCTTTGTACATGTACATGTATATGGTTTTTATTTAATTTACAAGGCTTATTTTGCTATATTTGATTTATTACTAGGAATGTCACCGTCCACCAGTTATAGAACAAGATGTGAATGATCCTAGATTTGTGTGGTACTGCTCTAGATGTGAAAAAACTATGAAGAAAATGGTAAGTTCATTACAACTTTACATTTTGAGGATTATCTAATTTTAGGACTTTATATTATAAAGATTATGAAACATTAGGACTTTACATTGTGAGGAATATCTGTGCATTAGGACTTTTATGTTTTGAGGAATATCTGTGCATCAGGAGTTTATGTTTTGAGGATTATCTAATTTTAGGACTTTATATTATAAAGATTATAAAACATTAGGACTTTACATTGTGAGGAATATCTGTGCATTAGGACTTTTATGTTTTGAGGAATATCTGTGCATCAGGAGTTTATGTTTTGAAGATTATCTAATTTTAGGACTTTATATTATAAAGATTATCAAACATTAGGACTTTACATTGTGAGGAATATCTTGCATTTGGACTTTACAGAGTAATCTAAGTCTGGCCTGGTCACCAGGATATTTGGAAAGGTGACATATAGGGGTTACTTTTGTAGGCGGCAGCGTCATTGTCGGTGACGGTGTCCCATAAGGCTTGTCAGTCACTATAAGTCGGATTGACTCCAAACTTGGTATGCATGCTTCTTTCTATGGCCCAAAGTGCAGTAGACAAGAATCATTACTCTGCCCTTCCTAATTTTTGACTGCTATTGACTTGAAACTTCATAGGATGATAGATCTCATTATGAAGAAGTGCAGTGCACAAGAATCAGCACTCTGCAATTCTTATTTTTTGAGTTATTGCCCTTTGTTAATTTTTACTTTACTTTTGTTCGGGCCATTTCTCCTAAACTATAAAAGCTATGGATTTGAAACTTCATAGGATGATAGATCTCATTGAGATATAATGCAATGTTTAAAAACCGGTACTCTGTTCTTGATGATTTTTGAGTTTTGCCCATACTTTATTTTTGTCCAGCCATTTCACCTAAACTATAAAAGCTATTGACTTGAAACTTCATAGGATGATAGATCTCATTGAGATATAATGCAATGTTTAAAAACTGGTACTCTGTTCTTGATGATTTTTGAGTTTTGCCCATACTTTATTTTTGTCCAGCCATTCCACCTAAACTATAAAATCTATTGACTTGAAACTTCATAGGATGATAGATCTCATTGAGAAGAAGAGCAGTGCACAAGAACTGTTACTCTGTACTCCATGATTTTAGAGTTATTGCCCTTTGTTAATTATAATACATGAAACTACATGGGATGATAGATCTCATTGAGAAGAAAAGCAGTGCACAAGAACCGGTACTCTTTACTTCATGATTTTAGAGTTATTGCCCTTTGTTAATTATTATACTTTATGTTTGTCTGGGCCAATTCTCCTACACAATAAAAACTTTTCAAGCTTAGCTACATCAGTCCTGATGTAACATTGTTACAATCAGTTCAAATGCCACTAAAGTTCAAGGTACATATGTGATGTGTTTATAAATAACCTATATTTAAGAAGAAAATGCCTAAGTGACAGCTATATTGTTCACAATGCGACACATCCGACTGGCAGAGTACTAGTGTTTGCTATAAATATATGTATATACTTTTCAGGTGACAAAGCCACAGAAGAGTAAAACTTCATCAGTAATTGTACCAGAGAAGTCTGAGAAACCTGCTGTAAAACCTTCAAAGACTGAACCAGCCAGCCTGTTTGCTTTCAATAGAAGAGAAACTAAACTGGTTTGTTTATTTAAATCTTTATTATCCCCCGCCGAAAATTTTCGGCGGAGGATTAGAAATAGTCTCCGTCCGTCCCACCTTCCGTCCCTCCATCCGTCCGACATTTTTGTCCGGAGCATATCTCTAAAAGTATTTGAGTTATCAACTTGAAACTTCATAGGTGGATAGACCTCATTGAGGAGGAGTGCAGTGCACAAGAATGATAACTCTACCTTGCATGATTTTTGAGTTATTGCCCTTTGTTATTTTTCAAGATTGATTTTTGTCCAGAGCATAACTCCAAAAGCCTATGAGATATTAACATGAAACTTCATAGGTGCATAGATCTCACTCAGGAGGTGTGCAGTGCACAAGAATGATAACTCTACCTTTCATAATTTTTGAGTTATTGCCCTTTGTTATTTTTCATACCTAATTTTTCACCTGAGTGGAGCATAACTCAAAAAGTGTTTGAGATATCAACATGAAATGTCATAGGTGGATAGATCTTATTGAGGAGGAATGTTGTGCGCAAGAATGATAACTCTTCCCTATACAATTTTTGAGTTATTGCCCTTTGTTTTTTTTTCATGCTATTTTGTCCAGAGCTTATCTCAAAAAGTATTTGAGGTATCAACTTGAAACTTCAAAGGTGGATGGATCTCATTGATGAGGAGTGCAGTGCTTAAGAATGATAACTCTACCCTGCATTATTTTTGAGTTATTGCCCTTTGTTATTTTTCAAAATTAATTTTTGTCCAGAGCATAACTCAAAAAGCCTTTGAGATATCAAAATGAAACTTCATAGGTGCATAGATCTCACTCAGGAGGTGTGCACTGCACAAGAATGATAACTTTTACAATTTTTGAGTTATTGCCCTTTGTTCTTTTTCATACTTAATTTTTCAATTCAATTTTTTTCTCAAAAAGTATTTGAGGTATCAACTTGAAACTTCATAGGTGGATAGATTTTACTGAGGAGGGATGCAGCACACAAGAATGATAACCTACCCTGCATTATTTTTCAAAAATTGCCCTTTGTTATTTTCAGCCATCAGTATTCACATAGGTTTCAAATCTGTAATCACTATAGCCATTAGTTTTCATTACCAAAAGACCTCTTAAAATGGAATTATTCCGCTCTACTACATATACATTCTTCCAATGAGCAAACACATTCGGCGGGGGATGGCCATGTTGACATGGCTCTTATTTTCTATAAAAATCCCCTCTTGTCACTGAGCCTTTAAAGGTTGAGGCATCAGGATAGCAGCCACTGTTTATCCTGTGCCTGATTGTAGGCAGCCACTAAATGGGTTCCAAATACTAGTGTCTATGCATCTTTCAGCTCCAGAAGGAGAGGTGGTTTTGACCATTGGTGTTTACTTTAAGTTTGTAACAACCAGGGTTTAGTCAAAATCATCTTTCCTGTTAAGGCACCATATGATCTAAATTGTGTTGGTGTGCTGTAAAACCAAACAAATTGTATCTAAATTTACTTCACCTCTTGAGAATTGAAGATAGGCTGATTAGCCCAGCATATCTTTAGTTTGTATGGTACAGACCTCGGCATAGTAAGTTTTTTTCCTCATGATGATTTTCTCGCCCTGAAAAATGAACACGAGGCCTTGATTGCTGTATTTATTGATGTTGTGTTCAATGACTAAACTTGTTAAGATTCTGTATTCAGTTTGTTGCAAGTCAAATTGTATCATTCTGATAAAGCATCATTGTATGGTATTCTAAACTACATTTTTATGTCTTTGACTTTAAAGCAGCATGGTAATTTTCATGAAAATTTTAAAAATGTATTTGAAAGTACAAAATTGTGAAGTGAACAGAGAAAGTAATTTACATGTTGCAAATGGCACTTACAATCCAGGTAAATTACCTGCAAAAATCAGTCATTAACCACATATAATATGTAAATTATTAGTTGAATCTTGATAAAATCTTGGTACATTTTTCTCAAGTTTCATTTCTTGAAATATTTTGACTTATCTGGAAGCATGCAGCTTCAAGTCGGACCAAATTAAGAAAATAAAAGATGCTTATTAGTTTATACAAATTTATTTTAGTTCGATTTTGTTGGAAGCTATAATCTTATTGAAAGACTCTCAAAAATGCTTATTAGAAAATTTTAAAAAAGTTTTATGATGAACAAAGCGTATGATATTATACATGTAGCAATTAAAAGAAAAAAAATGCTTTTCAAAAATGTTTTTGTGTTCTTAATCAAACTTTTTATTTCCTCAGAGTTCCTCCTCCAGCAAGGATGTGTCAGGATCTGGGGCGGCTAAACCTCTTAGCGGTCTGGCTAGTCTCGCAGCCAACTTGTCCGGCTCCAAGTCAAGTTCTTCAAAATCCGACCAGTCAAAATCAGGCAGTTCAAAGTCTGAGCAGTCTAAAACCAGCACTGGAAAATCTGACCAGTCTAAATCATCATCCTCATCATCATCATCATCATCGTCTTCGTCTAAAAGTGACCAATCAAAATCAAGCTCGAAAACACCTGACCAATCAAAATCGAGCTCTAGTAAAAGTGACCAATCAAAGTCAAGTTCATCCTCCAAATCTGACCAATCAGAAAAGACTAGTGTTTCCAAGGATAAGGAGAAAGACAAATCAAAAACTGATACTAAACCTTTCCAGAGATCTTCTGTTGATGGAAAAACTGAAAGTAATAAATTGTTTGGGGGTAAATCTGGGGAGTCTAGTAAATTGACAAAGTCCTCATCCAATTCAGCGTTAGTGGCGGGTAAATCTGGGTCAGGTGGTCAAAGTGCAGTTGCAAGTGCAGACAAACGAGTACAAATGATGAAGAAAAAAGCGGCTGCAAAGCTTACTGAGAAACGGACTTCTATGAAATAATATCGGACTTCTATGAAATAATATCAGACTTCTATGAAAAAATATCGGACTTTTATGAAAAAACATCGGACTTCTATGAAATAATATCAAACTTCTATGGAATAATATTGGACTTCTATGAAATAATATTGGACTTCTATGAAATAATATCAAACTTCTATGAAATAATATCGGACTTCTATGAAATAATATCGGACTTCTAAAATAATATTGGACTTCTATGAAATAATATCGGACTTTTATGAAATAATATCTGACTTCTATGAAATAAAATCGGATTCTTTACAGTGGTATTAAAGAAAAGAATGGGATGAAAATTGATCAATATTTTGTTTTTAATATTTTTTTTGAATATTTTTGAGTATGTCATTTTGAAATTTACTGCATATTATGTGTCCTTAAAATTTACAATAGAACAAATTCTTTTTTTTTGTTCAACCCTTTCTAAAGATAGATTTTGTGACCTATGTTCTCTGTGTTGTTGCAATGTTATTGCCTGAATGGACTGGCAATTTACAATTATTAAGACAGTATAAAATAAAAACAATATTAAAGTTTAAAACATGTTTGTGGCTTCATTATTCCAGTGTTTTAGAGCATGTATTTTTCATTGCAATGTGTGTTTCTCCACAAGGTGCACTATGTTCAAACATGTGAGGAAGTTATCCAGGAAGCTATATGGAGGTTTATGGTCTGTTTGTTTGGTGACTTGTGCCTGAAACAATATATTGAGATGTCAAATATGCAGACCGTTCTCCCCCAAAAATTGGGAGAGAATTGTCAGGGAGGAAACGTCAGGGGAGGAACTGGTATATATATAAATATATAATAATACATAAAAAAGATGAACCTTATCAATATTACCAGAGACATAGATAACTATCTATGTCTCTGATATTACTAAAAGATTAATTTAAAAATTACGGTATCCCTTTTCTTTTTCAATCTAAAAATAGTCTTAAACCTTAAATTAAAACTTTTCAATGAATCATGTCCTTTGTATTGTATTGTATTGAATTTGTATAAATAACAATTGGTGAAATAACGCCATTGTTTCTATGTATTTCATTACATGTGTCAAAATGTGGGCTAGAGGTCAAGGTCGTTGACTTTAAACCATTTGCCTCGAGCCGCACAAACGTCGGTTTCTACGTGTGAGTTAGCTATCCATCTACTTTACGGGACGTCTGTGGTTCTACTCAGGTCCTTGATTGTGCCTGAAATAATGTTCAGAGGGACATCTGAAGTCAATAATAGCCAAAAAAAATGAAAATTTCAATAATTTGACCTTCAAAGTCAAGGTCATTTATGAGTGAAGGTCAAAGTCTGTCTGATTATTTTAAGGGATATCCTTGAAGAGTATTATGTTCAAGTTTGAAGACAACCCATTCAAAAATAACAATGTAACAGCCAATAATAGCAAGAACAAGCAAAATTTGAACTTTTTAACCTTGAAGGTCAATGTCATTTATGGATGAAGGTCAAGGTTAGTGTGGTCTACTGAAAGGTTTTGTCCCAAGGGTTGTTGTGGCCAAGTATGAAGACAATACACCAAGAACTAAAAAGTTATGATCCAGGTAAAAGTTTGCGGACGGCAACGGCAACCCCGCCGCGACTATAATAATACCTCTACTTTTTTTTTTCAAAAAAAAAGTCGAGCTAATAACTAATCCTTGCTACATTACCTTTTCAGTTTTTACTTAAAAAGCGATAGTTTTGTCCCCGGCTCTACATTGGTCATGGAACATGTTGAAAACACAGTTTTAGGTAAAAAAAACCGAAACAACACACTGTAGTACGTACTAAAACCAACAGAAATCTAATAAGTTTTATGAGGAAATAAGTAAGTAAACACACTTTTAATTAAATACGCACTGTTCTGTTTTTTTTTTACAACGAGTGATTAAATGTTCTTAGTAGCAACAGTCCCTCCATTACTGCTGCATCCACAAGTCCGAACATAGACTTACTCAATTAAGACATATGGGATCTAACATGAGTTGTCATTTGATAAATGATATTTAATACCTAAAAGGAACATCATGAACATGAAAAGCGTGCACCCCAATATTTTCATGCTCTTGGTAGGGTGTACAATCACATGTCTTTTGTTATACGGCGACATTACCGGCTTATTGTCATTCAGTGGCTTAACTTTCTTACATCTGTCACTCCGATATGACGAATGCTAACATTAGGCGGCATTTGAGAGAAGCAGAGTTATGGAGGGTTGTAGGGATGGTGTAGCAGGGCGCCACCTTCCGTCAGGTTGGTGCGGAGCTGGGTTTTACACCACACCATCATCACCAGAGCCTAGACGAGATACCGGCTACTGGTATGCTGGAGGTCGGCAAAAGGTCACAACGCCTGCTCAGGATCTGTTTTTGGTCGTACAGGCACGTCATGCAAGGTTTTCGACAGCAACTTGTCTTCGAAATGACCTTGCTAATGCTGCGGGGTCCGTGTTTCCACACAGACGGTACGTAGAAGGCTGCATGAAGGTAATTTGCGGTCGAGAATACCTTGCATACGTATCCTCTTGACGCATCGACATCGCCAGGCCCGTTTGGAATGGACCATGGAACATACACGTTCTGTTCACTGATGAGTCCAGGTTTTTGCCTATACTTCACAGATAGGCGTGCTAGAGTCTGGATAAGATGATGTGAACGGTTTCAGACTGCAAATATTGTTGAGCATGACCGCTAAAGAGGGGCCATACCCGTTAGAATGATCAGAAACCTAATAGGGAGTATGAGAATGCGCTGCCAAGCTGTTATTGATAGTCAAGGGTCACACACACACGGTATTCAGTCTAAAACTGTAAAAAAAAAAAAAAAAAAAAAAAAAAAAGCAAAACAAAAAACACAACAGTTTTAAAAATTTGGAAAACACACTGCTTGTTCTGAAATCCTCAAAGAGGGGGTCATCCTCTTCTCTAGTCAAACTCATTTTAATTATAGGGTTAAATTCGTGCTTCAGCTGATTTGATAAAATTTAAACCCTTTCGCACGGCGTTAATAAAATTATGCCAAAAATTATTCACACTCAAACATATGGTGCTTAACAAAAGTTGAGTAGTATATATTAATATAGAGAAATACATAATGACTAATGGTTATATTACATAGAAAACAAGGGAAGTACTTGTGATAGGTGAAACTATCTGATGTTCCGTTTACTACATGTAAAAATATACTTCAGCATTTCGCATATTATATTAGTGAACTATACGTAACGCTTAAATGATTTCAAGTAAATTATCCTATAACTGTAATGATGCATGATGCAAATCTGGTAAGATGTGTAAAGAAAACATAGAAAATAGCAGTTTACTTTATGGATTGTATATTTTTCTCAAAGACTTTGCCGAAATAATAAATTGATGATGTGAACACAGAGCACATCACATATCAGCAGCCGAGAGGATAGATAATAAAGTTCCAAGTGTAAAGAAATATTATGGAGGGGAAGGATAAACCACGATTTACAAGGTAAGTAGATAGTGAACTAGCTGTTATAAATGTAGTCGATCTTAAACTGCTTTTTTCTTCCGCTTAAGAATTTTATCTGGTGTTTTTGTAGATTTTTTTTTAAATCAAGGCCAACATTATAAAAGTGGTTTATATTATTTAAAGTGAATTGGTTCGTCACGGAAGGTCTGTTATATACTAGGAACAATTACAGTGATTGTATTTAATAGTATTAGGCAAAACATCAAACCACTGGAAGTTGTTGGTATAAGTGTGAGCACATGCAGGAGCCTTGACATTCTATAAATAATTGAAATACATGTATATTTATATAAGCAAATAATTTAAAAATAACGGCAAACATACCAATAAACACTATATAGAGGGGTATATTGCCGTTATTTTTCAATTATTTATAGAATGTCAAGTTCCTGTGGTATGAGATACACGATCCGATATTACCTATTTTCCATTGATAGTTTTAGTATACAAACCACAGAAGAATTATACATGGTTGTTATATCGCGTTTTCACCATCGTACCATCGCGACATCGCGATTTCACCATCGTACCATCGTGTTCTCACCATCGTACCATAGTGTTTTCATCATCGTACCATCGTGCATCGCGGGCAAGGACGAAATAAAAAAAATCACTATTGTCCAAACGAAACACCGCGTAATATAAAAATAGTTTACACAGAATCAACTGTTAATTGAGTTTACAAAACTACGTATTATAACATTTCAGGTTTAACAAATGGCTGATTTTAGTAGTTACTACTTTAGTAATGATGATCGACTTTGCCCTGTTGTTTTCATTAGGAGCTCTATACATAGACATTATGGAAACATATGAAACGGACAGAGCAACGGCGGCGGTAGTACAGTCCTTGATGACCGGTGTTACCCTAGGCTTTGGTAAGAAGATTGAACCAGTATCCTTCTAAAACAGAATGTGATCAGCCTTTGCCACCAGCACAGAGCCAGGCCAGTCTGCACATCCGTGCAATCTGACCAGGCTCTAAACTGTTGGCTGACTAACTGTAAATGTTTATCTTGATATCCACATAGTTGATAATAGACAGTTCCAAAAAAAAAAAAAAAAAAAAAAAAAAAAAACCCTAAAATCAAACAATTCGTTCTGGTTCTTCGGAATCACTGAGTCAAACCTGTTTAGTGTAGAAGATTGAATAGTCATCAAGCTGATCGTTAGGGGCGTAAAATATGATGTGCTATTTATCACCGTTAAAGGCACATTTAGCCTCAGCAATAGGATATGACAAAGATGTGTTTTATGATATTTTGATAATGGATTTAGATAAATTTAAATGCATATTATGTGAGGACTTAGGGTTGTGTTAAAGCACATCAGAGTTAAAAGTTGAAGAAAAAAATGACATAGGGAAGCAATTAGAATTTAAAACAAAGTAGTATTTTGTTTTCCATGCAAAATACTAATTAAGTCACTCTATACTTTCTAATGACACAAAAGCAAAAGCTGATAAGATGGTTACTAGTAATCTTTACAGCCAATGAACTATTGAAAACTATGGAAAATGTAACAGAACAAAAAAGAAAAACAAAAAACAAAAACCAGAAAAACAACAACAAGAAAAAAAACAACAAAAAAAAAAAAAAAAAAAAAAAAAAAACTTAGTCTTACTTTGAGCTTAATTAAAGAGCTATCAACGAACATAAATTAATTATGAGTTTGTTTTCATCATATTTTGAATATTAATCTCCAATTAACATTTATGTAAACTTTGCTCAGATATTGCAGTTGAATCTGAATATCATTTCTAACTATGTTTTTTTTTTCTTGATATGGTATTTAGAGCTAAATCACCATTTGTTACAAAAGCTTTTGTTGTTATGTACTTAATAAAGTAAAGCAGTATTATTTTTAAAATGATTATAATGGCAAAGTTCACAACATTTGATGTTATTTGCATTGCTTTGACCATTCAGGTCTTCGTTTATTTTCTGAATGGTTAATGAGACATTAAAGTGAAATATTATTTTATATGTCACAGGGCAAATAAGTGACATTAAAGTGAAATATATTTTATATCTCACAGGGCAAATAAGTGACATTAAAGTGAAATATTATTGATATCTCACAGGACCAATAATTGACATTAAAGTGAAATATTATTTTATATCTCACATGGTCAATAAGTAACATTAAAGTGAAATATTATTTTATATCTCACAGGTGTGTTTAGTGGAGCACTTATCTCAACACTCGGCCTGCATGGTGTTACACTGATAGCTAGCATTCTTGTACCATTGGGTTTTATTTCATCGTTTTTTGCTACCAGTATACACGTCCTTTACATCACCATTGGAATCACATCAGGTATTTTATTCTATTACATGTACTATGTTTTAATATACGTGTAATTAATGTTTTTAAACTTACGTGAAATTATCTTTTTTATAACTAATCATAAGAAATATTGCATCACATTTGTTGATCCATATTCAATGTATAAAATACTGTATATATGCTTTACTAATATAGTAATGTATATACTAGTATTTAACTCTAACATTATGTTTTTATTTAACAAAGCTTTATATTAATGTTCGCTCAACATCACGTTCTGGACAATAAACTTGAACGTTTAGTTAAAGCGACATAATTATGTTATTTTTTATAAACGTCATTTTTTTTCTAAAGAAGACTAAATATCGAAAGCTAAGAAAAGCGTTTGTTTTTATTGAATATATAATATATGTTTGAATTTACAGTAGTCATGTAAACGTTTAATTTTTCCTTTAAATGAAACATATGGTGTCCAATAATATTTCAGTTACAAATGTATCTCCAGTTCGCTCACCTGAACACAAAGTGCTCTCAGAGGTTAGCTTTTAGGATGTCCTCCATTGTAAGTCGTTGTCCATAATTTCTTTAAACAATATTTCCTGACTTCACATGAATGATCATTAGGTGGTCCTCTTTTTGTAATTGGTTCCAGCCTGAAGCATTAATAGACCGCAAGAGCTAAAAAAATAGACTTGAAAAGTGATTTAATTCATGGGTTCTCACAGCAATGTTCTTTACAAAATTCTCGATCTTGATTTGTCTTCGATTTAATTACTATTATAATTTTCATTTATTCATTTATTTTTTCTGTTTCATGTATAAAGCGATTGGGACATCACTGTCACACGTTAGTTGTGTAACAGTTGCAGGGAGGGTATTCAAAGGCCGTCATCAAATTATGAGCATTACAATATTAAACACCGCAGTTGGTTTCGCTTCACTCGGCTATCCGTATCTTCTGTCGTGGTTGTCTGGCATATTCGGACTGCAAGGAACATTTCTTATACTTGGAGGTATCACTAGCAATACATTTATCTTGTGTATTGTTTGTTTTATCAACCGAAAAGCTCTTTCTGATGGACCACTTGATCATAGCAAAGCTTCAGAAAGTGGTTCCAATGCCAAAACCACTAGCACTGATCCAATTAAAACGATTACAGATGGAAAAGATCATCTTATCGATACCCCAGACGGAGACAAATGTCATACATCCCTTAATTTAAAACATACTGGAGTATCAGAAACGGGGTTTATTGCAGAAACATATGATAATATTGCATATAATTCTAAAAATAACGATGATGAAAGAACTGAAGTAGACATAATTGATGACAGAAAAGATGAATTAGCATTAGAGGATAACAATGGTGAAATAGTGTTTAAAGAAGATCCTACAATTTTTATAAAACAAATCGAATGTGAAAATAACGATCAAAAAGAAATTTCAGAGAAAAATATTATCGCTGATAAAAAGGAAGGTACAGTCAAAAATAAATCAACGACTGTAGCAAATGAAACGCAAGCAGCTAAGTTAGAAACGACAAAATATACTAAAGTAACTAAATTGAAACGACATTTTGAAACAGTCCACTGTCTCTTAAAAGAAATAATGACCAAACCATACGTTTGTTTAGTTTTAGCATTCGCCTTCGGAAACATTAGTTTAAATGGTTATCTAGGAGTAAAATTAGACATTGCTATGTGGAAAGGGTTGAGTGAGTCCGAAGGGCTATCATCATTTCTAGCATTCAATTGCTCAAATATTGTTAGTAGATTTATTCCTGGACTTTTGAAAGAACGAAAAGGGATTAATTCCTTTGTGTATCCAGTGATCTCCGCAGTTTCTGGATTTTGCGGACAGTTACTGATTTATTTCTCAGGACAATTATCAGTTTATATGATTGGAGTATGCCTTTGTGGTATAGCGTTCGGTGGTATCGTGTCTTCTTCAATCAATGCAACAGTTAGAATCGTGAGTCTAGAGCAAGTGCCTATAGCAGTGGGATTTCTTATCTCAGTCAATGGTATTCTAATTGTGGGTGTTGGTCCCCTGTTCGGTGAGAGAGTTCATTATATTATCATCTTACTTTTAACGTTTTATTGTGTGTTTTTTGTTTTGTTTTGTTTCTTTAAATAGAATAAATCATCAGAATGTCGTAAATATATTTCCACCACCCTTTTAAACAAATGCGTGTTAATTTCAAATAATGAAATATGGTAATAATAATAACATTAAAGACAAATAAACCAAATATTTGACAATAAAAACAATATTGATAAGTAGCACTAGTAAAGGTATTGATGAATATCACAAATTACACAATGGAATTTGATGATAAGTTCATGTGTTTGGTGCAAATACAAAACATGTACATGACAATAGAATATAAGTTTTAAATTACCTAAACAAGAAATAGGACACAATATATAAACAAGGATGCTAAATATTTTTTCTCACTCCTTTGTACAGTCGTATATTCTCGGCATTTTCCGTCAAACTTCTGATATGGAGAATTTCAATCAGAATGTAATAGAATTAAACATGACTTCCTCTATTTCCAGGTGCTGTGAGAGACATTTCCGGTTCATATGGTAGTGTAATCATGACAATATGTTCTGCCCAAGCTGCCGCAGCAATATTTTATCTAGCTGCAATGTTTTTACGAAAGCAACGAAGGAAGTGGTTAATC